ACAAAAGCGTCCTTGGAGCTGCCAAACTGGCCTGTAATCCTGCTGAAGGGGCATCAGGTTACTGTACCCAGACAACTTCCTGCCTGTCTTTTTGCACCTTGAGATTCTGGGAGGCATGAAAATCTTCTTAAGGGAGAAGTTAAGAAATTTCTCAAGTGAAAATTCTAAGACGTTCATGAAAATGTTCAAAAAAGTGCAATACTTAAAGAATTCTTACATTTTCATATATTTTCTTAAGAGCATCTTATTTGATTGTTTTAAGAAGAAAATGACACTTTGTTGTTATCAGGGGCTGGACTCATGAAAACCTTCTGAAGAAAGAAATCAAGAAATTTCTTAAGATTAATAAAAATAAATGTCTTTAATCCCCAGATTGTAAGAATGTTCACAAGTGAAATTATTACTAAATTCTTGTATGTTCTCATATATGTTTGTAAGAAAGTCTTAATTCACTTATCTTAAGAAATTACTTAATTTTAAGAACATTTTTCATAAATGAACTAAGTTTGTTAAAAAGTGTAACTGTTAAATTAAGAAGTTTTCAAATATTTTCTTAGGAACTTTTTTTTTCTTAAGACGAAAATGATAAAACGCACTTGAAAAAGACTTTTTTTTTCCTACCAGATTACTGTAATACAAGCATAATAACCATGCACAATATTTTTATTCCATCTGGCTTGATGAGAGTATTTTTAAAGAGTCTTTCTAAAGAAGGCTCGATTTTAGCATTTAAGACCAATTTTAGGTTATCCTAACTTGAAAATATTACGATGATTTTCAACATTTTTGTCTTTAGAACATTTTTAAGAAAATAGATAAGAACATTCCTTGGAAATGTTTTTGGGAATACAAAATATTCTTAAATTCTAAAATAACAAGGCAATCACAGTTATGAAGACAAATGTGATTCTGGCTTAATTTTGGAAATCGGTTGATTCTTAAAGTCAACTTGAAATGTTTGCAATCCATTTAATCATGAAATGTGACGAATGTAACTTGATTTATCCATCGGGAATTGATTGGATGGTGAAAAGTGTTAATATGTTGAAAATATAAGGCCTTGATGACATCATCTGAAAAGTAGTTTCAAAAGCAGAGCAAGTTGTATTTTGATTCCACAGTCAATCATCTTTGTTCAAAGAACAGCTCACATTGGATTACATTTTTAAGATGTCAGTTTCAATTCTTTGTCGACTTCTGCCTAAGTTTTCTTGCACTTCTACCTTATGTGCAATACTCTTGCCAGGCAGCTCCAGTGGAGTTCATTTTTCTCCCAGACTGCTGCCAGAGCCAAGCTGTGTGTTTTTACGAGATCTGTCATAAACTCTGGGTACTTGGCATGAACTAACTCTCTGTTCTCCCTCCCCAACAGCCCTTCCACCCCATGGTGAACCTGCAGTGCTCTCCAGACCTCAGGACGTTCCTGTGTGCCCTGTATGCGCCCGTGTGTATGGAGTACGGACGGGTGTCTCTGCCGTGCCGGAGCCTGTGCACGCATGCCAAGAGAGACTGCCAGAAGCTCATGGACATGTTTGGAGTCACCTGGCCAGAGGAGATGGAGTGCAGCAGGTACTCATTCAAGACTTTTGGAAATTTAAGGTAGCTTTTGAGAGAAGGTACAAAGTGTACATTGCCCAGTGTGTCAGATGTAATTGCCTCATGATTGCTCAGCATTTCTGAAGGTAAATTGTGCTGTAATGGTTGAACATGTTTATTCTTGGACATGGTTAATAGTAAATGTTTCCTGACTGAAATGGTGGTTTAAGCCAATGGTTCTCAAACTGGGGGCCACCAGATGGCACTAGGGGGGCCGCATAGAAATTCTAGAATCTAGATTAGGAAATTATTTAAAAAAAATGATTATACCTGTATGTAAGTCAGGATTGTCAATTTATGTAAACTATGATGTATTTAAAAAATAGAAATGTTTAAAAATAATATAAATTATACTCACACTACAGAAACGCTCCGTTGATGTACTAGTGCACAGAACGGTTAGCCATGAACACGCTGATAAATGCTAAAACTCTTTCAAATGGATACGTTTTTAGATAGAGGATGCACTGTCTCAGCTGAGAAGGTTAATACAGAAGAGCCTAGCGTGAAAAAAACCAAACTGCGTAAATTTGATGACTCGTACATAAAATATGGCTTTATGGAATATAGTGACGGCAGACCACTTGAAGATTTTATCCGTTGAAGCGCTGAAACCATATAAACTCAACTTTCGCAACAATTCATCCGGAGCATGCGAATAAAAGTAAGGATTTTTTTCAAAGAAAGAAAGAAGAATACATCAAGCAAAAGGTACGGATGACTTACATCACGACAATACCCGAGAAAGCACAGCAAGCATCGTATCTTGCAGCCCTGCGAATAGCCAAATGTAAAAAGCCTCACACGATCTGGGAGGAATTAATACTTCCAGCAGCAGTGGATATGTGCAGAGTGATGGTCGGGGAGGAGGCCGCGAACAAGATTAAATCCATACCGCTGTCCAACGGTACAGTAAGCAGACGGATCAAAGACATCTCTTTTGATGTGAAATCTCAACTGACTGAAAGATTACCAAAAGATCGCAGCCACTCACTGTGTCATCGTCAAGCACTTGCATCGAAGTCAATGGCACCCGACCTGCATGATGTGTTGGAAGTAGTAGTAGCGGCTGTCAACTTCGTAAAGTCAAGACCGCTGAACTCACGTCTGCATCACTGACATGTTTCCAAATCTATCTGAATTTTTGGATACAATTTGCATGGGAGTGGACTTCATGCTCAACACCATTACCAGTCACCTCACCTCACTGAATGAACATTTCAGTCACTACTTCACAGACATTGACATGGAGAAATATGACTGGGTTCGAGATCCCTTTTCTTGTGATGTGATGGCCAGTGGCCTCAGCGGAAAGGCTGAAGATGAACTTTTGGAATTATCCAGCGATCGCACTCTCAGGATGAGATTTAATATGCAGGGCCCAGCAGAATTTTGGCCCACGGTTGAAAAGGAGTACAAGGAGGTTGCTCTTCAGGCCATGAAAATATTGCTGCCTTTCCCAACAACATATCTTTGTGAGACATCTTTCTCAGCCATGATGGCAATAAAGACAAAATACAGGGCACGGCTTAATGTGGAAGCTGACTTGAGAGTTTGCCTATCCCCAATAACACCCAGAATTGATAAGCTCTGCAAAGAAAGACAGTCTGACCCTTCCCACTAAGGCAGGTTGTGTGCACTTGTACAGTGGTTACTAAATTGATGCGTCTGCATTGCATGATTTCTTTTATATTGTAAAACTTGTATAATATTGTATATTTCTTTTATATTGTAAAACTATTTCTTTAGGAGTAGACATTTTGTTTCTTGCAGAAAAAAAGATTGTTGAAAAAAATCAGATTGCTGTTCAAATTGCAAACCAAACTGTTGAGCCACTGTCATTTTACTACATCAAAATGTAAGAAGTTTAATGCACTTTTTTACAAAATACATGTAAATTTACTTTTCAGTATTCATCTTCTACTATGGACATCATAAATTACTGTTCAGTATTCAATACTTTTGTTGCACTTTTCAGACAATTATTATAACAATTTGTTATATTTTATGAAATGTAAGAATTTAACAAATTTTGTATATCCAACATCAGAGAAATAAGGCTACAAACATAATTTATGTTCCGGCATTGTACAAATTCATTTGTTTTTGGTACAATCTAAAATTGTTAAGTAAATTGTAAGTTTGGGGATGTTTTGCGTCATGATTTTGTTTTTT